CACCAGCACCAACAAGCAGACCCCAGACAACACCAGCACCAACAAGCAGACCCCAGACACCACCAGCAATAGCAAGCAGACCCCAGACACCACCAGCTCCAGCACCAACATCCAGACCCTAAAATCCCTCAGCCCCATTCATCCCCCTGCAGCGGTATCTGAGGTGCCCTCAACCTTTACATTCTTGGATGGTTGGATCTGAAGAAATAACGGTCAACTTTGAATGTGTTCCTGAGATAGAGATGGTCTTTAACCTGTTCACACCAAAGGAAGAGCCATCAACCTGAACTTGTATTACATTCAGTGATCTGTGTGCCCAACCAAAACAACAGAGGACTGTCAGAAAGAGGGCCAAACCTCTGTCATTGGTCTTCACAAGCGATGGACACGTAGACTACGTTTCCACCAAGGCAGTGCAAACTAAAAAGATAGAAAAGACCAGAAGAAGCAAAGGTGCAAAGAAGGATGACGTGCCCTGCAAAGCATGTAAGGCAGTCTATGGAGACAAAAGTGACCCAAAGGCCAGTGGGGAGTGGATCAGCTGTGGGAACCGCAGCGCCTGGTTCCATGAGACGTGTGGAGAAGAAAGTGGCATCTATGCTGACGATGGATTCTTCTGTAAAGACTGTCTCTAAAATAGAACATACAGTTCTTATGAAAATATTGTAATAATTAACTAATTCTAGTTATTTTTAATGCCAGTGTTTTTATTCATGAATTATTAAATCAACACTTGAATGTGTTCATATTTGTTAAAATGAGTTCAAATCAAAGCTGACTGATAAAGTGGCCCACTTTACCCTAAAACACTGCTCATCTCAAAAATGTTTCAAAAGCTATAGGACCTGAATAATTATAATTTATGAAATTAAATCAAGGTTTACATATTGAAAACAACTCATTAACAACAAAAACACAATTCAGTCTCACTTAGTGCTTATTTTGCAGTTTACCAAATTTGCCAAAAAATATGAAATTTGCCAAAAAGTGTCCCAGTTTAACTGATTTCACCCTGGAGATAGTGTTTGTCTCCTGAATCCAAACTGGAAGCTGGTTCCATAGAAGAGGGGCCTGAAAACTGAAGGCTCTGCCTCCCATTCTACTTTTAAATACTCTA